CTGAGGCCAGATTCAGCCAGCCCCGGGCTGCAAGGTGGGATTCGAACCCGGGCCTAGCCCCTTGCTAACCTCTGCTTTTTCCTTCCCCTGCTCACCTGGCTCCCAGCTCCATGTCCAAGAAGCCTCTGGCAACCACCTGACCCCCGAGCCCAGCCAGCCGGCACCCAGCGTGGACCTCGACTTCCTGGAAGATGACATCCTGGGCTCGCCTGCTGCGGGGGGCGGCGGTGGCGGGGCTGGCGGGGGCGCGGACCAGCCCTGCGACATCCTGCAGCAGAGCCTGCAGGAGGCCAACATCACTGAGCAGACCCTCGAGGCGGAGGCCGAGCTGGACCTGGGGCCCTTCCAGCTCCCCACCCTGCAGCCGGCGGACGGCGGGGCAGGCCCGGCGGGTGCCGGTGGGGCGGCCGTGGCTACGGGGCCCCAGGCCCTCTTCCCAGGTAGCGCTGACCTGCTGGGGCTGCAGGGGCCACCCACCGTGCTGACTCACCAGGCCCTGGTGCCGCCCCAGGACGTGGTCAACAAGGCCCTGAGCGTGCAGCCATTCCTGCAGCCTGTGGGCCTGGGCAACGTGACGCTGCAGCCGATCCCGGGCCTCCAGGGCCTGCCCAATGGCAGCCCCGGGGGCGCAACAGCTGCCACTCTCGGCCTAGCACCCATCCAGGTGGTGGGCCAGCCTGTCATGGCACTGAACCCGCCCACCTCGCAGCTCCTGGCCAAGCAGGTGCCCGTCAGCGGCTACCTAGCCTCGGCAGCTGGCCCCTCGGAGCCCGTAACCCTGGCGTCAGCTGGCGTCTCCCCGCAGGGGCCAGGCTTGGTGATCCAGAAGAACCTGTCGGCCGCTGTGGCCACCACACTCAACGGGAACTCGGTCTTCGGGGGCGCGGGGGCCGCCACGGCCGCGGCCGGTGGGGCACCCTCGGGGCAGCCGCTGGCGGTAGCCCCCGGCCTGGGCACGTCGCCACTGGTGCCCGCTCCCAACGTGATCCTGCACCGGACGCCCACGCCCATCCAGCCCAAGCCCGCCGGCGTGCTGCCCCCCAAGCTCTACCAGCTGACGCCCAAGCCCTTCGCGCCGGCGGGTGCCACGCTCACGATCCAGGGCGAGGCGGGGGGCCTCCCGCAGCAGCCCAAGACACCCCAGAACCTGACTTTCATGGCGGCAGGCAAGGCGGGTCAGAATGTGGTCCTGTCGGGCTTCCCAGCGCCCGCCCTGCAGGCAAACGTCTTCAAGCAGCCCCCCGCCACCACACCAGGCACGGCGCCGCCCCAGCCCCCCGGGGCACTGAGCAAGCCCATGAGCGTCCACCTGCTGAACCAGGGCAGCAGCATCGTCATCCCTGCCCAGCACGTGCTGCCCGGCCAGAACCAGTTCCTGCTCCCTGGCGCCTCCACCGTCCAGCTGCCCCAGCCGCTGTCTGCCCTGCCGGCCAACGTGGGCGGGCAGATCCTGGCGGCTGCAGCGCCCCATGCCGGCGGACAGCTCATCGCCAACCCCATCCTCACCAACCAGAACCTGGCCGGCCCGCTGAGCTTGGGGCCCGTTCTGGCCCCGCACTCGGGAGCCCACAGTGCAGCCCACATCCTCTCGGCCGCCCCCATCTTCCAGATGCCTGTGTCCCTGGCCGCCAGCAGCCTGCCCACCCAGAGCCAGCCGGCCGCCGCTGGCACTACCGTCCTCCAGGGTGTCACCCTGCCGCCCAGCGCCGTGGCCATGCTCAACACCCCTGAGGGCCTGGTGCCCCCAGCCACGCCCGCCCCCGCCCCTGCTGGGGAAGCCACCTCGGTCCTTGCCACGCAGGCCGTCCCCCAGGGGCCCCCCGCCGTCAGCACGCCGCTGCCTCTGGGCATCCAGCAGGCCCCGGCCCCGCAGGTGGCGGCCCCCCCTCGGGCCATCACCCCCCAGCCCAGCCCGGGCCTGGCATCCAGCCCCGAGAAGATGGTCTTGGGACAGCCGCCCCCCACCGCCCCCACTGCCATCCTCACTCAGGACTCCATGCAGATGTTCCTGCCCCAGGTAACTGGGAGGGGAGGGGACCTCATTGGTGGGGGTAGAGAAGGAATGTACTCCAGGGGCAGGCGTCCCTGAGAGAAGGGCCCAGGCACTGGGAGAAGCTGGGAGACTGTGGAGAACGACTGCCAGCTTGGCTAGGAGGGAGACTGACATGCGGACAGGCTGGGTGAGTGACAGATGGGCAGACAGACTGACGGACAGCAGAAAGCTTGATGGAGGGGAACTGGCTGGCCAACAGTTGGGAGGGACAGATGGACAGACGGAAGAAAGTGTTGAGTGGCAGGCACGAGACAGCTGAGGCGAGGGGCTGGCTGGACACATGGATGGGAGAGCTGACACACAGCCTGGTTGGCTGGCAGGCGACGGACAGGGGGATGGGCTGGTGGACAGACTGCTGGGCGGTTGGAGGGGGTGTCATGGGCATGGACAGACAGGTGGAGCAGGGGTGGTAGGGGGAGCTGGTCGAGAGTCCTGGCCACCCAGAATCCAGCCTGCGGACCACCCCACCCTGCAGCCCAGCACTATCGGTGCAAGCTGGGCTGGCTGAGAGCAAGGTATGGGCTGCCAGGCCTGGACGCTGTGTCCCATGGCGGCC